CTCAGTTGTTTTTTGCCATAATGTTTTGTCACTATAAAAGAAAAGTAGCTTATATATTGTACAACCTCTAAAAAATAAAGAAATTAAACTTTAATTTGCATTAATTACAGGACACAAAAATATGTACTGACTGTGTCACGTTCTATCCGTGTTGAGTGTTTATACTGTCATGTTAGGGGAAAGAATAAGGCTCAAAGTCTTCCAGGGTTTTCCTACTAATTGCAGAAGTCTTCTTAAAGTCTGAATGCTCCCAAACAGATCAGCTATGTTCTTAGATAACTCATAGAAACAATCCCTTTTAGCTTAGTCACTTACACATCTGAGTAAATCATTAAGACATATATGAATCTGGAGTCAACAAAAACCATACTACTGTAACTAGCCTGGCACTCATTTCTGTTGATATTGACCACATAATCTCCATAGAGGCAGTCATCGTGTGGACATAATAATCAATCTTTAATTAGTACAGTGACTTAAAAGAAGTAACAGTAGCCTCCTGGAGTTTTTTCAAGGACATGATATTCCTCAAGGAGAGAGATCAGAACCACTGCAGTCTAATTTCAATACTGAGCTCTTTGCAATACATGCTTTGTCTTTTGCCTAACTTACACAATGTTATTAATTCAGTGATATCAATAAAGTGAATGAGACAGACATTGAATAACCATTCATTCCCCACAGAAAAATCAAGCACCCTTAGGATTCTTTAAAGACAATAATCCATGTCCATGGGGAGGGAAAATTTCTGCTTTCAGAATTTCATGTTCTTGAACTCTTATAGTTGAGACCAAAGTCTAAATATAGCCAAGACTATGATGATAGTGCATAAAGTAATAAGAAGCATGTTAACCATATTGTTAACTGTTGCTTGATTTGAGTTAATAAATCAATAGATTAAGGGATTTGTCCACATCACTTCAAACAAAGGATGGTTCAAAACATTCTCCTTTATCACCAGAGAGGCAAAATGCCTGGATATAGAAGGAGGAAAGTTGGCTCCAATGTATAAACTTCATCTCCTACAGGTTCTGTGATGGAAGCACTTCATTCGTGAAAGAGGAAAGAAACTGTCCAAACACATATATTGGCACCGCTTTTGTAAGTAGGCAGTACAGTTTGATTACTTTGAATGGGCTTCTTTAAATCTTTCTCAAAAACCTTCAGGTAGTTACACTTTATTGGCAGTAGGAGTTAGCGATAATGAAACACCAAACAAGGCAGTGCCATATAGAAGTTTTATAGCAGAAACTAAAAAAGTCTAGGTTTCATATAGGTACTCCCAAAGTCAAGAACTGGAAAGCTTCTCCTTAGAATCACTGAAAATTTCAACTGTTCTCATATATCTGTTTCATTCTTTTTATGCGTACAAGTGAGTCATTTATTAGCAAGCACATGTGAAGTCTAACGTTTTACATACATATTTTTTTCTAATTAAAAAGAAACGATCAACTTTTGTGACATTAAGAACATGCAAGAGGACTCCATGGTATGGGTTTAAGTTCAGGATGTGGCCTTACACAAATTGGAAAATGAACTAGATAATCTGTCTTTCACCTTTAAACCATACTATTCAATAGAATGTTCGCATATACAATTACCCTTGACTTTTAAATTCTGATTTAAAAATAATCTGTGGCCATCCTTTATGAACAATATTCTGTTGCTGGCTCTTAAAAAATACAATTCAAATTTCCTTGAAAGTCTTTGTTTCTGTCTCTGTCTCTGCCTCTGTGTGAGTGTCTCTCTCTCAGACACAAGCACAGACCCATACACACATACTAAATCCAATAATTTTAATTTTTGTGCTGTAGGTATAATAATTAATTCATATCAATACTTAGCATTAGCATTAGCATGTTTTCTTTTCTTAAAATTGTTTTCCATTATGATAGCCATTTTCAAGGTAAATACAATTACTTTTCTAAGATCTGTCCTGTGACTAACAACAATAGTTTGAAAAGGTGGGTTCTGATTATATATATAAAAAAAATTCAGTTCTCATCTCATTGTGAGGCTACTAGTATAAAAGAAAAAATCTACCTTATACTTGATTGGGGTAAAGAGAGCATCAGAATCTATATTTTTAATGTTATCTTTCAAACACATTTTACATAAAGTGGCCTATGGTAAAAAAAAAAAAATTCTTGAAAGAATACTCAAAGCAAAACATTGTAGGGTTATCAACTCAGCTTCTTTGATACACCAGAAAACAGTAATCCTAGTGGTCCCTTCTCTTTCAATTTATTTCCTTCAACTTTTCCTTTCTCTTCGCTCTTTCATCCTACCATTTTCTTATCTTTTGTTATTTCTCTAATATAGTTTTTTTATTTATTTAACCTTCAAGTTGTCTGGAAGTCTGTATGACAAGGCCACATAAATATATTAAGCCAACACAAATGGCAATAAGATGCTGTTTTTTCCAATAAGCATCTTGAGGTCACACCCTTAATGAAACCAGTGAGGTCAGAGGCAATAGATGAGGGGACAGGGAAGAAAGCCTGCAGAGATGATGTCTCATGAAGCCAGATCCAAGCCCTTTACAAATTACTTCTCAGGATACACTATATCAGGTAGACACAGATGCCTGTAATTACTACATCGTGTTAGGGCTCAATTATTTCTTCATTTTTTTTTAAAGAATACACATTCAGAGCTTATTTTTTTGTTTCTTATTGTTTAATTGTTTCATAAAATATCTGAACTGGCAGAAGATGCTATTTGGAGGCCTCTTTGTAGCTTAATGGACCGAAGGGACCATGCCTTTTACCACAGTAAGGTGAGCGTGAATCTGATCTGACCATTAGTAACCATTCCAAGGCTGAAATTATTCTATCTGGAGCAAATGAAAGAAAAAAAAAACTGTTTGAAAATACAGTGTTCCTTATGCTTTTGGCATTCCTTTCCCAACTACCCCCATCTATCTCAGTTTCTCAGGTGAGCTTCTGTAACTTTACACACTTTCTGTTTTGACATTTTAAGGTCATGAAAGGTCAGGAGCATCTCTGCCTGCCCTCTGGGTTCTGAGGTTCACATTTCAGACCCACTTTTATCTATCACAGCAGAGCTAATCAGTGTATCCAGATCTGCAGACCTAGAGTTCTTTGTGGTGGCTTGTTCTGTCTGGAGTACTCTTCCACATCAGTGTGTTTAAAGTTTGATTCGATTTTAGGGATGAAAGAAAACATTTGGAAAGCAACTATATGGTGTTCTGAAAGAAGCACCTGCAGCAATCTCCCAGAAGGGGCCAGCAGCAGGTTCCTTTCACTTTTCTGTTCCCCTGTTCTGAAGCACCTGTCCCTTTGTCTTGAAGCATTTCCCTAAGTAAACCCTCTAAGTCTCTAATACCCAACACATTCATCTATTCTGACTCATTCATTCAAAATCTGAGGGTATTTCTATTCTAGAGAGGCTTTAATCCAGAAACATAAAAGCTTTTATAAAGGGCAAGACTAAGGAATAGAAGAAAACACTAGGACACTTCCCTTTAAACACTTCATCAGACATGTGGAGAGGTCTATAGACAGCAAATAGAACCCTGAGAGCCAGTCAGACACTATGCAAATTCCTCAGTTTTGTTGCACTATATTTTATTCTTTTTCCCTTCTTGGCTACAAAGGCAATATTAGAACTGCTAATACCAAATCAAGGCCCTCACATCCAGCTTGTGGAGGTTTGATTCCTTAGAGGTTAGAGGTTCTTTGCCAATATTCACATGATTGAAACTAAGCTGTAACTGTACATGTGAAGTGAGGACTAACACACCGGTCTTTCCTGTCCTTTTCTTTAAAACTACCAATTGTCTGTTAGCCAGGGCCAACCTACTGGGTAAAAGCTTCTCCATTTTAACTGATCTGTGACAGTTTTCTTAACTCTAGTAATCCACTTTCTGGACTAATGTTCTTTTTCTGATTTTTTACTAATCCTTGCCAGTGGAGCCCAAGTAATGATCGTTCAGCAAAAATGTTTACCCATTACCCTACATTCTTCACCTAGTTCCTCATGGTAACCTCTAGCAATGGCAACTGTGGACAAAAAAGAAAACTTTTTTTTTTTTTTAATTTCACCCATCCTTTCTACTCTGTAACTACCTGAATCTGTAAGAAGACAGCAGGCTCTGATTCAGTGACCCCTCCATATCCCCTGCCCCAAATAAGGCTTGTATCATTTGTTAGCCACCCATCCCCTTGTTCATGTTCCAACCATGTTCGCTGCACTTTACTCCTTTCTCTCATATGTCCTGTATTGACAGATGAGGGTCACTGCTACATGTGATACTAAAAAGCTCAATGATCTCATATTTGCACAACGGTTCATTCATAACAAGACCATTCAGTCACACACGGGCATCATTCGCATAGAGCTGCCCACTGTGGTCCCACTGTTCTTTCTATATGCAAGGATGTAGAGAACAATGTACTGAAAAGTATTATATACTGACAAAAATAAATATCTTGTTCTGCTCTGCTGTCCTAGAAAACATTCACGTGCTGACTTCAGACTTCTCAGCTGCCTCCATTCTGGAAGGAAACCGCTGTTACTTCTCTACATGAACTCTTCCACATTTTTTTTTCATGTGGTGAATTCATTTTGTCATGGGGTGAACACCTGTGTGACTATTTAAAAACCACAGTACCAGGTGTGTGCATATGAGCGTCTCTTGCCTTTGTGTAATGTTCTCACTGATTTCTCAGCAGGCTGGGTCAGGAAAAAGCCTTCAAACTGAATATAGAAAACGCTCTTTAAGGATGTTTTAAAATAAGCCTCTATTATAAGTGTGTGCAGTGAAAATATTGCACCCAAATTAAACAAACAGGTTTTAGCTTTAGAGCTACTTATGTGTGTATAGAATGTGAAAACCGTTGGCATCTCGGGTGACTCCACTGAAAGTCTATCCTGGAGGACAGAAGCTGGGTTTGGGAGAAGGCACATTGTAAAATACAAAAAATAAAAAAAATAAAAATAAATTAAAAAATGTGTTTATAAAATAAGGATGTTACCTTTTACTTTGCCTCAGGGTCTCTGCCCCTCTTTTCCAGGAAATAGATGCTTTGGGGAAGGCATTTGGTTTGCATTCGATAGAAATGTCACCACCAACTTGAACAACTGAAATTTTTTTAATGGGCTTTTTTGAGAAATCTGGAGCTGAGGCTAAAATAAAATTCAAAATGGAATTTTTAAATCACTCAATTATTATTCATTAACTTATGATTAAAACAGTATACTGGATAAAATTTAACATTTGTATACAAAATTAGTTGTAGCACACTCAAGCTGGTTTAGTACCAGTTTAAGTATACCACACACAGACACACACTCACACAATATGTACATATTCATAGAATAAAAACATATGAATACACATGATTTGCATCAGGGAAGCAAATCAGAAGTATTTTAAGTCTGTGCACAATTCTGGAAAATTTAAGGTAGGAAAATATAATCTGTTTTCTATGGAAGTAGATCATGTAAGTGAATTTTAACAACTTTACATTTGTCAGTCTTGGTCATGTTCCTACCAAGTTGGGTAAATAATACTGAAGCAAGAACAAACAGAGGACCTGGGATGCACTTAAGCCTTCCTTGTTCCTGAAAGTTGGATCTGTGTATCTCATCTCAGTTTCTAAAGTTCAGGTGAACTTAAATTTTCATGTATGTCAGGATGTCTGCCTTCTTGGCTTTTTCGGGAATTGCTTCTCTGCCTTCATTTGACCCCTGCAACTTTCTTTTGTGATCCCAGATTGAAAAGAGTGTTCTCAATTAAGGATCTATTCGGCTTGCCTTGTGTTTGGATATCAAGAGTTCAGTTCTTGACCATACGAAGAGCCACCTTTTAAATCTGGCTATTTTGTCAGTGAAAATATGCATTCAGCAAAGTCAAGGTTACTCTCATTTGAGTATTTTTATTCTTGGAGTCTGGTATATAATAAATTTTCGGCAGAATGGTAGTGGTTGAAGAATGAACAATAAGTGGATGCCTGATAGCCAAAAGCCTATAACATTTTTTCTCTTACTTTATTTGTCTTATTTCTTCCATTCTTCCTATCAGTAATCAGCTTCTGGGTAGAAATACCTCAGACTCATTTATTGAAGCAGAAACCATTGTTTGAATTTCATAAAGTGCCAATCTCCACAGTATTCCAAACTTGGTACTTTCTACTGTAAGGAGATGTTTTCCTTGTTCCAAGCTTTCTTCATTATTTTCATGGCAATGTGGCAAGAGTTCTAGTTAAGTAAATGAAGAGTGTTTGCTATAGAAACTTAAGGAATTACTATTTTTTAATCAAAGAGACAGCTATGATAGGATATGTCATTTTGCTTTGCTCCTGCCTTGAACATGTGTGCAGCCACCAGGGGCCATTTTGAACCCACACATTTGCACATCTTCTGGAAAGGTTTTTCATTGTAACTGCCCCACTAGATTGTCTGACTTGACAGCCCTCACACATCTGAGAGGAGATAAAGTAGGTGACCGTGTCTTAAGTCTCTGTAAATTTTCATTTGCCTTTCATGTGCCTGAAATCACTTCTCATGCTTACTTATATTTGTCGCTGAGAAGATTCCTATTGTGTCCCGTTGTTTAGTACTGCAGACCACCTGCTAGAATCTAGTTAGTTGGTTGAATCTCTTCTGAATTGGGCTTATCTAATGACTAGATCACAATGCATTAACAAAACAGAATAATAATTATAACATTTTCTTTTGAAAAACACTAAATGAGATATTTTCATTGTTTCTAAGGACAGTAATTTCTAGTTCACTAGAAAAAAGTCAGGTTCAGATGACATATAAATCACAGCTTGTAAAAGTGCTATTTCAACTTTTTATTATAAATAAATGACTCACCTAAAACTCTCAATTCTGCATTTGCATAAATTGTCTGATATTTGTTTTCTGCAGCACACTGGTACATCCCAGAGTCTGACACATTCAGCATGGTGATGATAAAAGTCCCATTTTCAATCTGAATTCTCTCCTAATAAAGGAATAGCCATAGAAATGGTGTTTCATTGTTAATGTAAACATTCTCTTACAAAATATGTTAATGAACAACATTTGTGCCTGTCACTGAGAACTGAAACTTTTTGGGGGTTTTATTTTAAGATCCTGAGTGGTTTTCTAAAGTTTAAAAAAAAAATTAAAAGTTTCTGGTATAATTTTTTTGCGATACAATTTTTTGGCTGGGATAATCCAAGTTAACTTACTTCTGTGAAAACTGGCCTTCTCTGTATGGGGTATATTCGGTTGTATGTTCTATGATATTTAGAATAATTTAGCATATTCCACCATTTTGGAATGTTTTTAAAATGTGTTGCTTGAATTCTTCGGTAAAAAAAAAAGTCATAACCTTCCTTTCTCTCACTACCTCTAAGTCCACCTGCCGCAGCAGCTGACATCTGCTACCAGGAGTCATTTAGGCTACCAAATTACAATTGGGAGTGCACAGAGTGAAGTACTTAATATCATGAATCTAATGTAACCTAGACATTTCAATGTATCCACTAAAAAATATCAACTAAGGTACACCTGAATTAAGGAAAACAAAGAAAAAGAGAACTCATTCCAAAGGCATCCTGGAGGAAAGTCTCACAAAGCTGAGCACAAAGAAAAGCCTTGTTTTTAGTTTCCAAATAATAGGTTTTGTTTTGTTTTGTTTTGTTTATGTTATTTTTAAGGACTCTGGCTATGGCTACATGTGCAAAAAAAATGCAGCATTAATACATCTGGAGAATGTGATAGGGAAAAAGTTTTCTCAAGGGATAGACACTATAAGAGAAAATATATTCACACTGAAAATGTGTACAATGTCTCAGATCTTTTCTTATGAGAGTAGAGGCAGTTATCATCTTTCCTAGGAGCAGCCAAGAGCATATTAACTCAAATTCCAGGTCCTCCTATCAGACAAATTTAGTAGACTACATCTTCTACTCAGTTTTGTAACCTTGGGAAATGTTTTCACTTCACAAGTGCTCCTCATCTGGGCCCTACCCACAGGTATTGTTCTGAAAGCTAAAGCTGCTGTTAGACAAGCGTCTCAGCCTCTCTGAAGCTGCTTCCACCATCTGTGTGAAGTGTTGGTAATTATAATTTCCCTCTCTCCTGCATTATTTTGAGGACAAAACAATCTATAGAAAGAAGCGGAACGTGAGATCTGACTCACAGGAAAGCTTATCAAATATTAGCTTTGATGATGAAGCGACCTTTTTAGTGCATTACTGTTTAGATTATTTTATTTATTCCTAGTGGATCTCATACTTTCTACAGTCTTAATTAGTTCACCCTTAGTTTCCCACTCCAACTCCTCCTCCATTCCAAAAATCCCCTCCCAACTTTATGTTTTCTCCTTCCTTCCTTCCTTCCTTCCTTCCTTCCTTCCTTCCTTCCTTCCTTCCTTCCTTCCTTCCTTCCTTCCTTTCCTTCCTTTCTCCCTTCCTTCTTTCCTCCCTTCCTTTCTTTCTTCTTTCCTTTCTTCTTTTATTATCCCACTGAATCTAGTCAGTGATTCAGTGCCAATGACGACATCTGATTATGGATGGATTCATCAATGCCAGTGTGACTGTGTCTGAATTTTCCATCCTGGCACTCTTTTCCTTTTGTTTTCTATTCATGCTGACTCAGGCAGCAGAGAACACTTTCCTTACCATGGACTCCCTTTGAAACTTTGTATACTTTGTAAACCCTCAAGGCAGGAAAGGTGCTAGGTCTGGCCTGAGAGGCTCCAGCAGCCAGGCCCCACCCCCAAACTTCTTTAAGGTCCCTAAAGATCATTTTCAAATGGTTGTAACTGTCACCCCTCCCCCCAGCCTAGGGGTGAGAGAATATCCCAAGGTTATACTACAAGAAATATTCTACCAATCACTGTACAGGAAAACCCACCAATCCTGAGCTCCCCTAAAGCTCCAGAGTTGAAATCACACCAATCTCTACCCTGAAAAGCTGTGCCCTGGAAAGCCCCATCCCCTAAGAAATCCTATATAAGAAGTGATTACTGTACAGTTCCTTGATGTTTTCTCACAGAAGCAGACACAGCCACTGCTAGATTAGTCTTTCCCAATAAATTTATTTTATGAAATTTGCTGCCTGGTGTGACTCTTTCATTGGAAGAAGCCAAGAAGCTAAGCAAAGAACTGGAGTTGAGTTGAGGCTCCTGAACTCCTCCTTTGGGAGCTGCAATGCTGAAGAAGAGTTGTGAAGTGGAGCTGTTACTCTGTAGCACTCTAGCTAAGCCAAGATGTCCTCCCTCAGGGCTCCAACACCTCTGCCGAAGAGGATTCTTTTCAGAGCTTTGTAGTTCCTGGGTGCCTTTTTCTCAAGATCCCTTTCCATTGGGACACTCAGAGCTGGGTCGTTCCAGGACTCCCAAATTCCAGGATACCTTTCCATCTGAGCAGGCACACCAAAACCTTTGAGTTTTCTTTAAGAATTGCAAAAATATAAGTTCCTTTCATTAAGTACACTGACCATTCCATAGATGTGAGCTATCACTGAGAACAACTGTTATTAACAAAATGTACTGTGAGGCAATGGGTTTTTAACATCTAGTTCCTTACGTCTGGGTTGAGGCGTTCACCATTCTTTAGCCAAGTGTACCAAGGATTTGGCTTTCCGCTAGCTTTGCATTCCCAAAACAAGCTGTCATAAATAGAAAGGTATGTATTTTGGATTTTCCTTTCCCATTCAGGAGGGGCTGTTTGAAAAAGAAAGAAAGAAAGAAAAAGCAATCAATAATATCTTGTTGGCATCTCATTCATGGTCATAGAGTACTTTCCAAGTTCTAAGTGATAAGAAGATTAACAGCCCAGGTGAACTTCTCTTGTAATATGTGAGGTATGAGGGGAGGAGGGCTGCAGGAGCCTAGTAGGGACAACCATTACAATTATCACCCCATATTTGGCTCAAGCTAAAGGTTGCCATCTGTCATTTTGCTGCACCTGTGCAACAACTTGTAAATTCTGAGTAAAGGTCAAAATGCAAAAGACAGCTAAAAATTATTGCCATGTTAAATAACAGTACATATATCAGTTGGAAAGTAAAGACTAAATCAAAACCTACTGAGGGCAAATTTTCTTTAAGTATACATGTTTAAAGCTAACAAAAAGTAAATAAATCTAAATCAGAAATAACCCATCTTAATAGTTTGACAAACACAAATGTTACTTTCCACTCTAGATAAGATAGTCTAATATCCTTTTATCTTTTGTGTAGAAATGCAATTTTGGGTGTTATTTAACTTTAACCCTACACATGGAATTTTGTCACATTCCTTTTCTCTATAGTAGCAAACAAAAAGCCATTGGTGTAATCGAGTTACTAGCCTCACTGTCGTTCAGGAAAATGAATTAACATGAATATTCTTTCTCAAATATATACTTAGAACCCATGAATAGTTGCTTATCTCATCCATCCTTTATTTATCTATCCTTGTATCTTTATAGAACGAAGAGTACCTGTCTTTCCTTGGAATTTCTGAACAGGGCTAGCTAGATGTTTGACACTACTGCATTTAATTTGGTCTAAGTTCTTAATACCCACATCATAAGCTCACAGCTGCCTGTAACTCCAGCTCCAACTGGGTCTGATGCCTATATATTTTCACAGAGATACCAGATATCCGTTTCAAGGTGGTATTTTAAGAACTCAATGGCCAAATTATGAACAATAGCAGAGGAAAGCACTGCTTTTTTGGGGAGTACAACTTCAATGGAGAAGTCTGAGGATAATTCTTCAGTGTGGACAGAAATAAAGTCACTAAAAAAGGAGTCATTGACTGAACCAATAACAAGAGCTAATTTGTTTTTCACAGACTTCTGATGAGTCTTCATGACTGATCCTAAGTAAAAAGAGGCAGAAAGACAAGTATTCCTTGGCTCCTGCCTACGTAAGGTATCTTAGGGTAAGATACTGCAACTCTGTCTATAGATGCAATGGTATTTAGTACACTATTGAGGACTACATACATACATACATACACATATACATATATGGCTATGAAATATATATTTACATATGAAGAATATATATGAAACAAGGTATTTGGCTTCAGCTTAGTCCTATAATTTGTGCTACACTCACTACACAAAATAAAAGAAGTAGGATTAAGTGGGGTTGAAACGTTATGTATCACAAAACCTGATTTCCAGGCTTTTCTACTGTGATACATGTCTCCATTAAGGCTCTGCAGGGAGACGGTCACCAAATAGAAGGAATCATGCTATCCCTGGGTGGTGAGACTTAGCCTATGATTATCTCCTGTAGAAATCAGCTCCATTTCCAATTTTAGACCGTGCCTCTTGAAACCTTGAGAAACAAATCGTAGCAAGGTGTATAAGAAACTCACGTACTGACAAAACTGAATCTTCTTTCTAATGTGCTACTAATAAAATAAGTTAAAAATATTTATCAAAAATTGTTATAATATGTTTGATCTTAGAGAAAAAATTCATTGCTTAAAAAGTTTAAGTTATAAGCTAAAATATTCTGTCGTTATCATTTTAAATTATGTATAAATGTATTATACATATGTATATATGCATGTGTACATGTATGTAAGTGTCTGTCTGTCTGTGTGGTGCATGTGCTTGTGCTGCATAATCCAGAGGTGTGGGATCCCCATGGAGCTACAGTTACAGGATAACTGTTTTGACTTGCCAGATACAGGTTCCGGAAAAAGAAATCATGACCTCTACAGCAGCAGTACATATGCTTAACTCTAAACCGTACCTCAAGCCTCAGATACAACAAAAATGAATAGTAAATAATACATGTCGATTGCTTACTGTAATAATTGCAACACTAAGACTTCATTTGAATGTGCATTTTCATTGGAATCTTATCATCCAAACGAGAGAGATATTAAATATTCACGTTTGTAAAAAAATACAGAAAAGAAATAATTTGGGTTTACTGTTCACACTTGATTTTTTGATATTTCTCTCCTACTCATAGATCTTGAATGCCAACTAACTACTCTGAACCTATTATATTTTCCGTTAATTATTGTGATACATTAAAGTCTAATTTTAGAGGTAAAAATACAAAATTCGGAAGGATGTACAATGTCACCATTCCTCACTTGTAACTTAAGCTTTTTTCTATGTTCTTCAAGTATTATTAAACTCTGGTGTAAGATGGCTTCTCTTCATTTTATGACATGTAAATTAATATGACTATGACACATAATGATTATCTAATCCATCAGTTTTTTATTTTCCTTCTGAAAGAAATGTCTGTCACCATTGAACAGCTGAATAGTTCTGGTAAGATGGACTTGGACCATTGTGTTAAAAAAACTATGGTAGAGTAGAAAGAATCCAGGTTTAGGCAATTCCTCAATGTTGTGACCTTGAATTGGACTATCAGTTCCTGAGATATCTTGCTAAATTAATCTGAAATCTCCAAACTGTGAGATCGCTGAAAGTTATTCATGCCTAAAATTGTTCTAGAAATTATGAGTTGATATTTTAAAAATCTTCATGTAATCTGACTCTTGATAAATACAGACTACAGAATAAAGTAGTTTAATGTTGATTCAAACTATAGATAATTGTATTCTGATCTATCACTTAACTATAGCTTTTTTAATTACATAAAAATATGAAATCTTTTTATTAAAACAGAGCCAAAATTTTTAATATTTTTAGTATGGTAAAACTCTCAGTTGTTTCTTTACTAATACATTGCAAAAGATACCAAATGACAAACACTATCCTATTAAAAAGTAGACACTGTTGAACAATTAAATTACTTTTCTTGGCAAGCATCAATAAAATTGTAGAACATTAAAAAAGAAAAATACATTCTATTTATAAAGAAGTAACTTTCACTTCATGCTAAAATTGCAAATTCTAAATAAAATGGAAAGCAATATATCCAAAGGCATATATGTTCTCCTCAGAGGATAGTCAGTTATTACTGCTACAAGATAACTATAATAAACTCTTCAAATTATCCAAACATTATTTTAAATATCCTTATCAGTAATCAAATCAGGATATATAGAAAAAATATCTTGGGTATGAACAACATACTTTCTATGAGTTCTCAGTCTTATAATTACCAAATATTTTGATAATTCTTTTATATGTTCTATATGTTTAGTCCTTTTAAAATGAATTTTGTTGCTGGAGACATGGCTCCACTGTTCGGAGCATCAGCTGCTCTTCTAGAAGACCCATGCTTGAGTCTAGCACTTGTATGACAATGGAGAGTCTGACACCCTTTCTAGTAGCCTAAGCAACAGGTATAAATGTACAAATAAAGGCATAAACATAAACAAAACACATGTACATATAAAATAATAATAAAATTCAATGATTTTTCATTTTGGTCTGGATGAAAAAAGACGTTATGGTAATATTCGGATAATATATGCATTTATTACATCACAAAGCATCTTTAGATCAAATCAATATTCTAGAAATTATGGCAATGGTGTAATATGAGGCAATGAACTGATTTTTCTTTTATCTTCATATGGGCAGATATGTACTGAAAAAAGTGGAAGAAAATAGCACATGCCATCTTTCCATCAATGTTTCTATTTATTTTTACCTTTTGTTAGTAAATTCTATTCAGAATATTAATGATGATTGCCATAGGCTACTCCTGAATATTCTTTGGAAAATGTGTTTTAGTTATGAGCTCCTTGTGTGATAAACTTTAATGCTGTTACTATGAGACTGCTGACATTTTCCTCTCAACTGTAATAAACAATAAAATCCATACACTGTACTGCAATTGACACCATTGTGTCTCTGTGTGTTTGTGCTATGTGCTGTGTGCAAATGTGTGTACATTTGCATGCATAAACATGTGTAGTGCAGAGATGGATGTTGAGGAGGTGTCTTCATCAATCCAGCTCTACCTTGTTATTTGAGACAGCAAATCTCTCTGAACTTGGAGCTGCCAATTGGCTAGACTGTCAAGCCCTCCTCAGACAGACTATGCTCTAATATCAGCCATGGAATTACAAGAATATAATGCGATGTTCAACTGTTTATGTGGTTGATGGAGATTTGCACTCAGGTCCTCTTACTGGTATGACAATCACTTTGTCCACTAAGACACTAATTTCAAAGCTTGTATTTTTAAGACAGGCTTCCTACCTGTTGACCACCTAACTAAGCATCAAACTGGAAACATATCTTTCCAAATTTCCCCACGATACATGCCCACAGTATGTTAATGATGTCTCCTCTTTGCTTTGAAGCATAGTAAAAACTCACAAACATTTTTTTTTTGCATTTCTATTTACTCACCATAGAAAATGAGTTGACCCTTTGCAAGGTTTCTTCCTCGAAGATTACCTGCGATGCACTCATAGAAGCCTTCATCTTCTTGTTGGAAATTTGGGATTTCAAGGATAGCTTGTGATTTGCTGTATTTGACTTTCCCTGGCATCGGGCTTCCATCCAACCTTCTCCAGCTAATGTCAGGGACTGGACTAAACAGTTACACTTCATTAGAATAGACGATGGTTGTCATTACACTAGGATAATATAAGAGGAACCTTGAAAGTTACTCTTAAGAAAAACAATCCAATATATTATAGTGTGATTCGTTTTAGATCACACAGTCATTCACCACTCACTCATTCAGACATCTATTTAAGATCTGCTTAATTGCCTCCCATTTACAAAGCATTCTTCTATGCTTAGGGAACATGTTGGTGATATAAGACACATGCCTTCTGCCCTCACATTGTTAATAGATTAACAGAGAAACATATTAGAAACAGAGTGTAAAAACAAATATTTGCAAGTTGTAATAACAGAAACAAAAGAAATAGGATGCAGAGATAACAAGATTTGATCAATGGACATGTGTTGATCATGGAAAATTCCGTTGAGAATTTAGTATCTAAGACTAAAGCAGAGTCTACATATATTTAGAGATTCTCATTTTAAAAGCATAGGTTCTCTATAGCGAAATTATCATTTTAAACTAAATTATGCATGGTAGGTGCGTTTGATTGTTAAAGATATGAGGTAGCATAAAACATAAATTTAAAACCCAGGTTCCATATCCTCGTAAGAATGTAACTTATACACTATTAAAAATAGCAACAAAATAAAAATGCATTCACATTACAGTTGAGCTCTGTTAGAAAATTTTATAAATAGAATTTTTCTACTTATGGGAATATAATACATTAGTATAATATGGATATATTTAAAATAAAAATGCTATGATACTAAGTATCAAAAAATAATCAATGTGTTTGAAACCTCTTGTAGAGAAGGCCATATTGTCATATGCAGAAGGAAACTCAGCTGTAGTTCAAAGCATAAGACAAGATTCACTAACAGTCATCATGAAATGAAAATGAAATTCCAGGATATTTATGCAAGCTTCTCTTCCCTACCTTTAAGCTGTGGTTCATTCTCATATAGACTTTCAAATGACCTAGATATCTCCACTTTAATTGTATTTTAAATTTATATGGATGATGACATTTGTAAGTTCTTTTGCAAAGTCTATTTATGAACCTTGGGGAAGATACAAGGGTTCTTTAAATCTCCACGAGTGATACTGGAGAACCAGCCAATCATTATCAGCATAGCTGACAGATAAGGAGCTATAGAGTCTGAGCAGCAGATGAGTGAATAAAATGAGTGACAGTTTCCAGAGAAGTTTTGAAGACAGCCACTGGCCTGTAGAAGCGTTAACGATTCTTCCTGGTTAGAGTGTGATGATCTTGTTACAGATATCAAAGACAAACAGCATGGCAATCTATTGTGTGATTCTACACAATGGTCAGAAAACATGCCCCAAATCACTTTTTCTCAAAATTAATATACAGTTTCCAGGTATAATTTGAATTTATTCAACACAAAATATCCCAATTTTAGCTTCTATCCTTTCAAAATGTCACTTGTTACAACTTTAGATTGACATTTTAGTAAACTGGCATATTTCAAACAACAATTACCCTCAGGTAACTGGTTTTCTTAATCACTCATTTTTCAGGCTCCTAATGAATGAAAATGAAGTTCTACAAGAAAATGCATTTAGACAGAAATATATTCCTGATGTCTGAAACATTTCAAACTCTATGTGTGTGATATTCAATTGCAAATATAGAGACATTGTCTATGCAAGCATAGTAAGGCTGTCTTTGTGTGGCTGTGAAATAAATATCATTTATGTTCTTCTCTACTGATTTCTCCTTTCTACACTGATCATATCTCTATAACCTGTGTTATTACTTTTCTATGAAAATTAGTTTATCAAATGAATGCTAGAGACACTAAGATGTGTATGTATCAGCATTCTTTGTTATCTGTTTAGAACTGAAAATCTGAGGTGTATGACGAATACACAGAAAATTATCTAAAAGAAGCCTATGACCCAGAACATTCAGGAAAAAAAGTGAGCAAATATTGAATATTTTCTCATAATTCTATCTTAATGGTTTACAATCACTATGAAAGTACATGTCAGATTTGTTTTTATTTTGTTGTTTTGTTTTGTTTTTCAAAATAGTATTTTTCTGTGTCACCTTGGCTGTCCTAGATTCTCTTTGTAGAACATAATCATCTCAAATCCACAGATATCTACCTTCCTCTGCCTTCCTGAGTACTGGAATTACAGGCATGTTCCATCATGCCCAGTTGACCTTCCTTATAACTGAGAGGCAGAGAGAGGGTTTTATGTCTGTACCCCTGAAGCTATCCTCAATTACAAGGAAATACTTGCATTGAAATAACATCATATTGCAACCTAAGTCTCCATGACTTCAGAAAAATGGGTCTCTCACCTACAGACAAATATTAGTCTGAGCTAGAGGATTTGTATGGAAGAGAAGAAGGAAGGATTGGAAGAGCCAGAGGGATCACAGATACCACAAGACAACCTACAAAATCAACAAACCTGGACCCATGGGGGCCCACAGACACTGAACCACCAACCCACAGAGCATGTATGGGACAGATATAGCCCCTGTGCCTCCCGTCCCCACATATGTATCCTATGTACAACTTGGTCCTCATGTAGGATCCTTAACAGCAGGAACAGAGGCTGCTTATGACTCTGTTACCTGCTGTTGTATCCCATTCTTCTAACTGGCTACCTTGCCTAGCCTCAATGGAAGAAGATGCTTTCGTCCACTCCTACTTGACATGCCATGGGAGGTCTCTCATTTCTTTAAGAAGAAAGGGATGATAAGAGGAAGGGAGGCGAGGGTGAAAAGGAGGGGTTGTGAGTAGAAGAGGGAGGGGAAGTTCTGCTCAGGATGTAAAATAAATAAACAAATAAATAAATAAATAAATAAATAAATAAATAAATAAATAAGTGAAAGACCCCATATCACCCTGAGTTGAACAGAGTTAAACACAGCTAATGCCATTTTGCGGTGTACCACAGTTCTGGGAAAAATAGTAAAGGCCGGATGGGAACTAAAAATTACTCTGAGAAAATCCAGCTAAGTCACCCCCCTCAAGATATCTGCGGTCAAGGCTGCCCCAGCTGAGCCAAAAACAACTTTGTCCTGACCACCCTCATGGGATATCTGACAGGTGGTCCGGCTGAGATAGGAGTCCTGGGAAAAGCAACATATGGCGGCACTAGTCAAGGTCGTCATAATTGTTATGACCACCCAGTTCCTGGAATTCTGGTGTCCCTGCCAACCTGATTCATGTTATGGTTTCATGTGAAAGAGCCAATCAGCTCCCTGTAACTATGCCTCTCACTTCTGTATCAATGCTTCTGCTCTAACCCCATAAAAAACCCAGCTTTCTGCCCGGAAAGGCGCGTAAAGTCATCTGAGTGACTTTCCGCCCGGGTACCCGTGTATCCAATAAAGCCTCTTGCTGTTTGCATCCGAAAGCCTGGACTCGCTGATCTTTGGGAGGGGGTCTCTCAGACGAAAGATACCCTCAGGGGGGTCTTTCATAAGTAGAAAATGTGTCTCTCTTTTCAGTGGTCCTACAGAGTGGTATCAAACATAAAACACTCAACCAATCCCAACTATCCTGACTTTCCCTAAAACAAAGAACTCAGTGACTACACTGGATTTTCACTGGATAAGTGTTCTTTGATGGTAGAAGAGATGCATGCTCTATAGATAGTGTTTCCGTTTGTACAGTGTAGCAAAAAGCAACAGATGTCAATCACTGTTCCACTCCTACTCTTTCTAGTATTTATGGCCCACACGTCTTCATGCATCCCATCAGAAACCACTTATACAACGATAGCGCTTTCATGACAACCACCATCACACTGCTTTAGCCAATTATAACTGCACAGGAAGCTGAAAGAGTTTATGAATTTCCGTGTCCTGAAAAAGAGCTCTTAATACATCGTTCACAGTAGTTTGGGCATAGATACACCAGCTGCTATGTCTATGGATGCAGATAATACTGGATGTGCTTTCATTTTTCTCCAGACCTTATTTCCCTGACCTAAAGCAGATTTTGAACTTTGGTTGATTCAGCATTGATTTTGCTCTTGTGCCTTATTTTCTCTGCCTCAGTTCTTCCTATTATTACAGACTTTTTACTAAAAAGTCTTAGTAAAGTCACTTTCAGAAAATTATTCTTTCAAAGGAGATCTCCTGGAAGAGCAAATAGTTTGAATCTTCTTACATTCTAATCACGCACTACTTCAGTTAAAATGCCAACTGCAAGGAATCCTTAAAAAGTGTCCAGAATGGTGTTTCTCATTTAGATGTTACATTCACACAGAAATGGATGTCTGTAAAATTAAACATCAATGACGTAAAGAGCAAGCAACAGAGTCCCTATGCAAAAACATACATCAGGAAATATATTTTAAGAACTTACTGTCCTACTGGACCAAAATCATACCAAACTAAGAGGAAAAGACAAGAAAGTAGGGAAAATACCAAGACTAAGCAGAGATAGGAAATTTTCTGATTAAAAAAAAAGGGGGGGGGGCTTTTTTTAATTTCATTTGTATTTGGGGAAAATAAATAGCCATCAATACATCCCCAAATGGAAAGGTTTTAAGACCCAATAGTCTAGCTAATGTTTTGTTGTCAGGGTTGTTTTGTATTTTCTTTTTTTTTTTTATTTTATTTTTCTTTTTAGTTACATTTTGTTAACTATGTGTCCCAGCTGTATCCCGCTCCCTCATTCCCTCCCCAACCCCACACTCCCTCCCTGGTCTCCTCCCTGCCCCTTTCCAAGTCCACTGATAGGGGAGGACCTCCTCCCCTTTCATCTGACCCTGTTTTATCAGGTATCTTCAGGGCTGGCTGCAAAGTCCTCCTCTGTGGCCTAACAGACTGCTCCTCCCCTGGCGGGGGGGGTCAAATAGCCTGCCCTTGAGATCCTGTTAGAAATAGTCCGTGTTCCTCTTACTTTGGAAAACTACTTGGTTACTGAGCTACCATGGGCCACATCCGAGCAGAAGTTCTAGGTTATATCCATAGATGGTCCTTGGTTGAGTGTCAGTCTCAGAAAAGACCCTGTGCCCAGATAT